CATCAGATGAAGAAAATAGTAATCTAAGAATCCAAGACACCAAACTCACCTCTCTGTCTCCAGCTGATCTCACACACACATTAGCTGATGGTTGCCAACTGGCATTAGCCTGAAAGTGTGAACTGACCCAGTAAAACAGTTTCTGGGTGAGCAGAGTCTCCAGTTTCAGTGCAGACACTGTCACCGTGTGCTGCCTTGCCCGCAGGCTCTTTGGCTCTGTGATAAGTAGGTCTGAATGCCATCTGCTCAGTTCAGCTTCACAGCCACCAGTTTGCTGCAGTGTGACACTGTAAGGCAAGTTTATTTGTATAGCACATTCCACCAACAAGGCAATTCACAGGGTTTTACATAAAACATAGAAGCAAAATAGGAAAATATAAATTACTTTCAAATACAATTAAAATAGGAAATAAAACAAGACAGTTACAGTAAATGTTTTCAGTGTTTGTTCCAGATATAAGATGCATAAAAGCTAAATTCTGCTTCTCCATCTACAGAGAATTTCATTTGATCAAATGTTGCTGTAATTCCTAAAATAATTGTGTAACACTATCTGTTCTGTTCTAGTTGTATTATACTTATTTTTCATTATATTCTATTTCTTTCCACTAAAGTCTTTAAAGTCTACTGTAGTTGTCTCTTTTGTGTCTTATCTTCCGCTCCTTACTTTTATAAGCCTGCTCTATTTAGATGCTATTATATTATGTGTTGTGCTTTTCTGTATTTTGTTCAAGTTGTTGGGAACGTACTTACTTGAAGTCCCCCTGTTATCAATTATGGCGATATTAAAACAATGAATACATGGTTTATTACACACTCTAATAAGATAAGATAAGATAGATTTTATGGATCCCACACTGGGGAAATTCACTTGTTACAGCAGATACAACACAACACACAACAGATAAGAGAATACACATTAATTTAAAAGTACAATAGAAAAAATACAAGATGGAATAGAAATAATAAGAATAAGTTATATTTACAATATATACACTGTAGTGGACCTAAATTTATTAGTTATGCATTTTAATAAATTTATGAGAATTGATACCCAATTATGAATTATTATTCATAAAATCAGAATTTCCTCGTAAAGGGCACCACCGGAGTTGTTATAATCCTAGAGTCTCCGGACCTCTAGGTAGTTTTGAATAATTATACAATTATTACTAGTGATCAGTTAGTTAATAATCGCTCAATTATCTTAAATCAGTCAGTCAGTCTCATATCTAAAGGGTCAATTCTCTTGGCAGGAACTAGAAATAGGCAACACACACAGCTCTTGATTATATTACAGTGAATTTATTCTCTACCTAAGGTGATAAAAAGATGGTTGGATACAGGGAACATAAACATTTGCTGAACAATGAGCCTGGAGGTTCGATTGTGGGAAGCATTTGACTCATACGGCATAGAAGAACTAATGAAAGTAAACTAATGCTCTAGTTTAGGAGTTAAAATGGACATCTGATCACAGGACGTGTGTTAAGTCTTACTGCTTGTCGACAGCCTGCTTTTGGCCTGTTGCACGGGTCCCACGCTAGCTGCCGATCCTGGCTTTTTGCTAGGGATTGTCCGGGGTTCTCCGTGTCTGATTGAAAAACCTCCTCCGTCTGGCATTTCGGCTGTTTGCAGGTTTCCTTTGTTGTAGCTGGCGAGACCACGTGGCTTGGTCTGACCTCGGTGAAGTTGGCTCGACGAAAAGGCTTAAAATGGAACTTGGTCGTTCCTGAATTAGTCCAGTGTAACTTAACGGACTGATAACTTTAACAAACAAAAGAAATAAAGAAAATAAAACAAACTGAAGGCAGATCGATGTCGCGGCACTTCAGGTGTGTAGCTTCAGGCGAACAAAAGGCTTGTTTGTTTCGCTGGCCGAGTCTGGGCGTGTGGCCTGGCGAGGCACGCTACGCGCGTGCCGAAGCATCCAGAGGGCAGAGGGGAAGAGCGAGAAGAGGGAAGAGACTAAGAGTCTGGCGAGCAGGTCGCGTGTCGCTCTTTTGTTGTCTGGGCCGTGGTTCCCCAGGGGGCGTCTCAGGTTTCCCCAGGAACTGCCTTTCTAAACTTAATGTTTAAAGAAAAGAAATCTATTTGCACGTATTATAATCAAATATTTTCCACAATCGAACCTCAATGGTTGAACGGTTGTACTGTTCTAAGCATTTGGTAAATTGTCACATTATTGGTCAGTATTTTTACACATTTAACGGCATTTCCGACGAGGGCATGTAATACTTATTTCGTCCACTTGGGGGAGCTCAGGTTACATGAGGAAAGCTTGGATTAAATCAAAGATCGTCTCTCCTTAGGAACCGGGGAATTTGTTGATTCATCCTTAAATTCAAGCTGGCGATTAAGAGTATAGTAAAACATTTCTTTGTCATCATTTCTAAAGGGTAAATTTTGTAAGAAAGTATTATGTTATGACCCTGGGGTCATATTTTGTTGTTTATCTCTCCTGGCACTGTCAGCTGTTATCCTCCATTAGAGTGTGTGTGTGAGTGTATGCAGGTACTGGAGAACAGGTGGACACACTGGATTGGTCTGGTTGAGCTGATTGGAGCCTCCTGATTGGGCATCTGGATGACAGCAGCCATCTTAAGCCCTACGGACAGGAACTCTGCCCCTCTCTCTGCCATTCCCAACCTGCCTGAGGACTGTGTGCTATGTCTGTGTGTATTGTACATAGTGTACGGTTGTGACTATATTCAACTTAGATTGTAAGTAGTAAAGTAGTCCTTCTGATTGTCTTATGACAACCTGGTTTTGTTGGCTTTGCCATTTTTGTTTCTAGGAAGCAATTTCCTTTTGTTGTAGCTATATTGTGTCAGCTACTAGCAGTGAGTAGGAGTGAGAAGCCCTTTCTTTTGTTTGCACCGTTTTCTCCTGTGTTTGGACTTAGAAGCCTAGTTTTAGAGCTTTGTCTTTTCTTTACCTTTTGGTTTTGGGTTTAGGAAAGATTTAGGGTTTTTCTTAGTGTTTTGGTTGTTGTTTTGGGCACTGCTCATCTCCGAGGTATAATAAAAACTGCTAAATTGTATTTGTTGTGTACTGGCCTTGTTTGGGAATGGGAAGAGTGGGAGGCCACACATTTATGTTACCTCCAGGACACCCCTAGACCTTGGGACGTAACAATTATGAACAAGCATTGATTACATTAGATGAAGGAGTGTCTTGCTGAAAATAAAAACACTGCACAAGTAACTTCTTTTCAGCACTAATATCAACAACAGAGAGCAACAACAGTTAACATAACTGCTCAAATAGAGGCAAACGTAAACAGGTAACTAAAGATTTAACTCAATTAAATGCTTTGAGTATTTTGGAGACTGCAGTCCTTTGTCATCTAAAGTTCAGTGTCTGGAACATGTCACACTTAGGTGAGACAAGGAGTATCCTTTTGATGTGGTAATAAAACAAAGAATAAGGTCAGTTGCCACGGAAACGTGTGTGGTGGGGTAAGTTTTGATAGGCTGTTCAGGGAGATGCCAATGGCTGGCTCGTGTCCCTTTGTCAGTTTAACAGTCACGCCCCGCGTTATCAGCTTCGGAATCAAAGAGGTGCCAGTTTTATGGTCGGGACAGCACTTAGAGAAAGCAACTTTGACCCCTCCCCTTCTTCTCTGGGGAGGAGAAAGGAATTTAGGGTAGCTCCACATTTATTCAATGAAAAATGCACAAATCCACACCGTTGTTCACTACAACACCTTTACAGTTTTTCTCAGTTGTTTACACAGTAACACTGGTACGTGAGACACGATGACCACAACTTGTAATAGAAGCACCAACCACTTGAACCAATTCTGCTAAAATACAAGCACATTTCCTGCTTTACACTCAACTTGCAGTTTTACAGTAAAACCAATTTCATAAAACTACAAATATTTCTCTACGCACATAGATGTAAACATAAAATGTATGTAAATGTAAAAGATTTTCTATATATTTCAGTCCGGTTGCTGCAAAAATGCAGGATATTTGAGATTATTTATGTGTTTTTAACAGTTTTGGACAAAGTGTGTTAGCATTTGAAAAATGTGTTGCAGATATATAGAGTTTTGCAGGTGGAGAAGTAGTAATGAGAAAAGAGTTCATGGATTTTGGAGAAAGTAGTCATTGAATGCATTTTGTGTGAAAGCAATGAAAAATGATTTAAACTTTGGTCCACATACACTTCTGTTTCGCTGACTGCGTGAAGAGTTTTGACAACGTAGGTTAGCAATTGATAAAAACTGTAATATACAGATGTGATTGATATTGAACATTGTACAGGTTGCAGCAGTAGATAGTGGCACGGTGTGGAAATAAATATGGTTGTACAGGATGTATGTTGTGTTTTTATTCATCCTTGTCCTGTAGACACCCGTAAGTAGAGCCTGCTGTGTAAACAGATAATGAATGGCAATATAGTTAAACGCTGCTTACAACTACGTTATTGTGTGTTATAAAGCATGAATTATGTTTATATACTGTTTCTAAAAGCTAAATGAGGTGACCCACATAATGATTGATAGATCATCATCATCACCTTCATCACAGTCTTTCCTTCTCTTTCAGGAGAATGCTGATATTCTGTTTTAACCTGATAGATCATTTCCCCTGCAGTCTGTTATTTGAGGTTTTAATGCAGCTCAGTTTGGGAGCTGTCGTGTTTCAGAGCATCAAAAAACGAAACCTGACCAATCACTACTGATACCCTTTAATATGTGTTAACGAGGATTTACTTTTTGAAGCTGTTCTAGACTCCAGTGGTCCCCCTATCGCTGTCTCATTTTCAAAATTTCATTGTCGTGTAATTTGCGTCTCATCTTAAACTACTTCAAGTAGTGCTTTTTAACAGTTGATTAAATTAAATACAATTTCAACAGGTTCATTTGATATAGACACACAAGACTGATGTAGTCTTTACTGACTCTATTGCTCTTTTACTGTTTCCAGCCAGCGACAGGATGGCGGCTCATCTGTTTCTAATCCTCATCTCTCACGTTCTCTCCTCAGGTCTGACTATGACATGGAGTTTGACAGATACCCTGATGACCACTATAACAGGTACCGAACATTCTTATCAACCTTATCGTTTAATCCATTTCCGGTTTTGTCTCTTAACTCGCGGTTGCTATTACTGGCCGTAGTGAACACAAGTCAGAGGCCACGGTTCACACTGTCTTCACCACAGAAATCAGATCAACAAAATGATCTTTGGCATAAAGATTGTTTATTTGACGGCTCGTTCGACAAGCTAAGATGCAAGGTGTTTGTAATTTAGAAGAGTAGGAGGCAAAGCTGACGTGTGTTCAGAGTCTGTGGCTCTGGGATTGTGTAGCAGGCTGCTGTCAGGATCAGTGTGACCCTCTGCAGATAAATAAAGAGTGACGTTGCTGCTTTATGCAAACATTTTATTTCTCCATCTACAGTATGCAGACGAATTCACGTCTTCTATCTTTTGGTCTTTCAAAATGTTCTCACAGGAAGACACAGGGCGCAGGGGGGATTTACAGAGCATGTAGAATATCTCACAAAAGTGAGTACACCCCTCACATTTTTGTAAAAATTGGATTGACAACACTGAAGAAATGACACTTTGCTACATTGTAAAGTAGTGAGTGTACAGCTTGTCTAACAGTGTAAATTTATTACAATATACATTTCAACATTTAATGCTGTAAATAAACATGTAAAAAGAATAAAACTTTCATTAAATGTTTTTAAAGTGCGTGGATAAATCCAAAATTGTAACCTTAACCCTGGGTCGTCAGTGCGCATGTGTAGGCGTAGCGTGTATGTGTGTGTGTGTAGTGGCAACAGAGGAACACTCGCTGAAGAGACGGGGGCCCCGGCTTCACTGGTGTTGTGCCGAGTTGTTGGCACCTCGCAGGACTTTCGGATAATTTATCACCGTTGATGAACCACAAAAAAGAATATTATATCGTTTGTAAATAGCCGCCTATTTGAAATAGACCCGCGAGGAACTGCGACTTGCATGCGGCTGTCGGCAGCACGGCATGCATGAGAAACTCTGCACAAGACCGGTGAATGCCAGGCGAGAGAGAGAAAAGGGTCTTCAAAAAGCCTCAGTTTAGCTGGAAATTTACAGTGTAAATTGGATGAAGAGCAACTGCAGCAACGTAGCTGTCGTGTGTAACAACCCCAACGCTCGCAATCGGCGGGCACAAAAACACACATGATTCGACTATCAGTCGACTACAGGCAGGACTTGACGACCCTGATTCGCCTATCTAAATCCTTAGTCGTTGGACAGCCCTAAATCTTACTTTATATACAACTTTCCTATCTACTTGTATATACATTATATTTAAATGTTTATGTTTTCATAATAATCTTGTTTCAGCTTCGTTTTGCTTTTAGCTATATGTCTGTTGCTCTTTATCTCCCTAAAAATTGTTCTTGGAACAGCAATGAAAAAGTCAAATTCTTTGTGTGTGTTGACATACTTGGCCAGTAAAGCTGATTCTGAAATTAACTACTTTGTCGTGAACCAGTTAAATGGCAAAAGGAGAAAATAACGTAAATTATGTGCTCAGAGCAAACAGCCACAAGCTTCAGGCTCCTGAGAAACAGGACTCCCTGCCTCTGAATGCACCGTAAGGCAGCAGGCGAACAGACAGCCACAGAATATCTATTCATATTCAAGCTGCCTGGAAACTGAACTGATATTTTGGTCCTGATCCCACCAAACGATTCAGGCAGCAGCTCTGGACAACCTCAAATGTCATCTCAATTTTTCAGTGTTTCAGCAGCTTCTAAACGTATTTTCCTGAGTGACTCAGACTGCACATTTTCAGCAGAGAGGAGGAAATTGGTTGCCCTCTCCAAGAACATGAACCTGCCTCAACTCTCCAACTCTCCAACTCTCCATTTGTGTCTGGCGTGCAGTGGCAAACGGATTTTCTGTTTGATGGCAGCGACTCTGAGGTTAGGAAACGATTTGCCTGTCTCAGAGAGCTGTTTACAGTTCCAGGAACAGATGAAAACTGTGAGGGGATCTCAGTTTGACCTTGTTGTGTTCAGCTTTCAGCAGGTTGAAGAGGAATTTTGTGAGGATGAGTGCAGCTGCTGGCCTCCCCACCGCCTTCCGTCCATCCTCAACTCAGATTATTCTGCACGCCGATAAAAGACAGGAGGAGCCAGATCCACATGCAGTGACAATCTACTGCCATACAGAGACGGGAGAGAGAAAATGACAGAGCTGAGTTGAGAAGATTAAAATCATATCAGCAGGATTTATTGAAACAGAAGAAAGTAGCAACAAGATAGAGATTGAAATCAAGCTGAAATGATACAGAAAGAAAGAAACGGTAAAGGAAAAGTGAATGATGAAGAGAACAGAAAGAGCCAAAGAAAAATAACTGGAGTGGAAACAAAATGTACCAAAAGCCTATACCAAGAAACTATACTGTGACACCACACTGTAAATAGTGTAGAGCTGGCCCGAATGTCATTTTTTGAGCTTCGACGATTCGATAGTAATTAAGAGCGAATAATCAAAGCCCCCCACCCCCTCCACCTGTGGCGGTGCTCAGCGGTCCCGTTATGGCGATTGTTCAAACGTGTGTTGATAAGCATGCTGCAATTTCAGGAGCTACAGCTTTTTATTTAATAGATAGAAGCAGAACAGCAGAAGAAGAATGCCCAATAAGTTCTGCTGAGTGAGGGGGGGATCGGATGGGGGAGAGATAATGGCGGCATGGGTGCACAAGTCTGTGTGCATGTGTGAGAGAGAGAGAGAGAGAGCGGTCAGTTTATTTATTCCCACAGCTAGGGGCTAACTGAGTGATTATTACCAAATCTTTGTTTTTAACTTTATTATGGCGGCTAGCAGACCCAAGTGCAGGACTAAGAAAGGGAGAAATATTTATTGCAGGTTAAAAGGATCGGATATTGAGCATTGGAAGAGCGAGACAGAGTGAAAACAGATGCGTGCCGAACCCAGAGCAGGGAAAGCGTAGCTGAGAGTCCAGAGTGAGAGAGTCTGATCCAGCAGGTCCAGAGCAGAATCCGGGAATAGTTTCAACCGGACGGGGATCCAGGCGGAGAGCAGACGGGATGAGCGGTGTTTCCGGTAGCGGAACTAAATCGAACACGATATTATGCAAAATTCACTTTTAACTTTAATTATAGCCACTAAATGCTCTTCTTCTACAATCGGCCTCATGTAATTAGGCTTATTTAAATGCGTTCATTATGTTGTTGTTTGTTTGTTTCCAGCCTACAGTTTACTGATTCATTTTAAAATGTAGGAAATTTGACTGTTTTGATCTGTAATGAAATTAAGCAATTGTAAAATTTTAATAAACGCCATAACTTCCACACTACTGCTGTCATCACTCAGTTTAAAGTGCTCCCACACAGCTGAGGGCTTCCATTAGTTTTCCCTTTGATGTGAACTCGAGCGTTACTTTCACTGCTGTCGGTGGAGGTCAGGCACGCGAAAAAAACCTTAAAAATGGAATCTCATAACCGAATATCGAATGTGTACCCAACGGTCGAATATTCGAAAATTCGAATATTCGGGTCCAGCCCTAAAATAGCGATAGTGTTGTCAGGATTGCCAAGTGCCGAGGCAGGAAAAGCCCAAATGTAAGGGCCAAACGTAAACCACTAACTGGAGTTGATGTTCCCGGTATTTATTTAAGCAACAACAGAAAATTCAGGCTTATGTGTAGTGATTCGGTCCACACTAAAGGGTATTAGTCCATTCAGTGAAAACATAAATCCAAAACGGGTAGAAATAGTCCAAACACAATAACAGGTACACTGAGAACAAGCAGAGACACTCAACAAAAGGTAGCAAGGGACGGGCACAGGCAGGAAGGGGAACAAAAGCAGGTGGGACACATTGGAATCAGGGCAAGCAGGAAACAAAGCACGATACGAACACCAGAGAGACAAATTCAAAATAAGACAGGAAACAGTTTGCACCATATAAAACGTATCGGTTATGAATTGTGTTTACATACATTAAATCCAAGAGGACATTATTAAAGGAAAATCCGGAACCACTACGCAAGACAAAGGTCATGCAACCAATAAAAATAGTAAACTATTGTACATCCATTAGAGGTCCGCTGCTGATGATGTTATCATCCTTCTCCTGAAATTTTAAAAGAATGAATGTTACTTCAAGTTCAGACATGTACGGTAAACTTAAAAGAGTCTAAAGGAGTGCGGTGCAGTATGTGAAGGAAAATAGGAAATAACAACAACATTTGTGGAACTCTTCAAACTGAATTAAATTTGCTCTGATGCAGAAATAAACACGCAACTAAATTACATTCAATTAAAATAGCGCAGATGCAGAAAATGGGAACTGAAGTGTGTGTGAGAGAGAAGACCTCGATTTATTTACAAACTGCTTTAATCTACTTTTAATTTGTTTTATTTACTTTAGTTTTTTCCATTTAACTTTCTTCGTTTTTTAATTTTATATCTCATTAATATAACATTCAGATTACAGAGCAGCAGATCGGCTGCTGTGATGGATTTAACCGAGGAGTGAGTCTGAGGAGACGAGAGAGAGGAAGGAAAAAAGGGAGAGAAACTTGGAAGAAAAAGATGAAATGAGAAAAGATGTATGAGACATAAAATAAACAATAAACAAGAGAGATAATAAAGAGAAGGATGTACAGCACGAAAATAGAGAAACACAAAGGAAAATGAAGGTAGAAAGAACAAAAAAAGAGAGAAACAAGGTGGGAGAAGTGAAACAAAGAAAGAGTGACAGAAGCCAGACTTCCATCCAAATGTAAATTTGAACCAAATCTGCAAAAGAAAATGCAAATGAGTTGGTTTTTCCATCCACTAATGCTCTGCGAATATTAAAAGTTAAGCGCTTTGAGATTAACAGTTGGTGGAGTTAATTCTTCAGTGCCATTAAATCATCGCTCAAACTATGGAAAACATGATGGGACATTAAACATTTCTGTTTCATGCATTCATGTGAGGAAGGTTATTGATGTTTTTATCTGCCACTATTTTCAGTCTCCTCAGTGTTTGTATTGTGCTGTATTCACACGCTGCATGCATGTAAA